AACTTCCTATTTGTATTGGCCTTTATTTAATCTCGCATATCTATTATTCTCCTTGTCATCGACGTCATCTCTTTACTCCGACCCAATTTTCTCTTAAACACTAAGTACCTCTAGGTTGGTGTTTATTCTACGATGTTTTTATTTCATACTCAGTCAATTTAGGTTATCTGAGCTACTGATAAGTTATCCTCTTACAATTAATTGTGGTGCTTTTAATTTTATGTTGCTAAGCTTTTCATTTTTATTGAGAAAACCATTGTGACGTCTTTTCATCAACCTAGCCAATTGACTTAGTATTTTTCTGTTTTTAAAAATTATTACGTATGCACATTTGGGAACAGATCATTTTCCTGATTCGTGACAGGCAAACCTTATCTCCCATTTTTGTTTATCAATCATTTATCTTGCGTCTTCTTAATTATTGAATGGCTTCATTACAATTTCTACTTTTAAAACATTTCTCATTGTGAAATTTGATCTATTTATCAATTGATCAAATAATGGCATTTATAATGCCCCAATTTCAGAACATACCGCATTAATAGGAGTTCAAACAAGCCTGTTTGCTGCTATTCGAAAACCAGCTTCTCTTCAATATTATATTTGTCATGAATAAAAATTTATTTATCGTTCTCGTAGAGAAAGTGAGTTTGTGCATCCATTATTTATTGTCCAATTGTCTTTGGCTAAGTATTCTCGATGTTGATGTGGTTAACATTATTTGATAGCTCTGTGTTTAGAATTTGCCTATTTTCCCTTTTTATCTTAACCACATTAGCAGACATTCCAGAAAGCGCTCTTAAATTTTTGTGTCCATGCGCAATCTGTAAACGAATGCGTGTCTACTTTTTAAGATATGACCATGACATTTTTCTCATATAATTTAAATGCGATTTTTAAAAGCTATATGGTTTTCTTTTGTATAAGCTTCTAAATTTGATCTAAATACATCTCTATTCGTATCCCCTTATTATATGCACTTTTTCTTAAAACGGGCTTTTCTCAGACTTTTGTCGATATAAAATTATAAGAGTAGTTTGGGCTGATATAAATCAATATTGAATGACAGTCTTTAAGGATTTATGCAATAATCCATATTTCCCTAACCCTTTTAAATTAGTGTAAATACTTTAGTTGGTCACTCTTGTGATTAATAACTACCATTTTTATCTATTTTATATGTAGTACGGCTTTGAATAGAATGGATCTTAGTTTTATAGAGGATTCTTATTTTAAAATATATATTTAATTAAAAGGAAGTGTACTCTTTTATACTAATTTTGCGAGTGTGTTGATACTTTGCTCAGTATCTTTGCATATATGTTTAGGGAGCTGTGCTTTGCATTTACACATTTATTTTTTCAATTTATTAACCCTGTTCGCTTTCTCTTCGCGTGCATTATATTTAGAGTTTCTGCTGTCATGGCACCACAGAAGTCTGAGGAGACGGAAACACAGCGTAGCGTGAAGGCTAGACATGTCCGCTCTATACGCCGTTCTACTCAAGGCGTCAGTGCTGACCTCTTAGAGGAAGCTAAGCGTCAGCTTCTTGCAGAGGCTACTACTACTGCCGTCGCAGGATCACTTTCTTCGACTTGTAGCCAAGTTGGATATGTGCGAAACGGACTTCCATGTAATCCAACTTTTTATGTATTTAATTATTTGCATCAATCATAAATTTATTTCCTCTACTTTTATTGCAACTCGTTAAGACTATAAATAATGTCCCG